TTGTAGACTGAGTCCTGCCTCATTAACATCATTGAAGTAGGATTTACAATACACAGGAAAATCACATCAGATGACAAAACGGAGGACAATCACACAATACTAAGAATCATGGCCTAGCCAAGTTGACACACGTTTTTGGGGGACACGATTCGATCCTTAACAAAAGCCTATGGCTTAAAAAAAAAAAAAAAAAAAAAAAAGAATCTCCATGTAAGAATCCTATACCTAGGCAGGATATCCTTTACCAAAGTTAAAGAATGGTATGTTCAGTTATTCTTTTAATATGTGACTGCACACCTTGTGTTAGAAAATGCTCTTGGCATTGGAATTACAGGGAAAAGGACAAGCAAGCTAACCTGGAATGAATATTCTAGGTTTGTGGGAGACTTGAAAGACAGTAAACAATGTTTAAAGTTTAGATAAGAAGAACAAAACAGTGTGATGACCATACCATCCATATTAGGTATTTGAAATACTTATGGATGACAATTATCATTAATAATTAATATTCATTATTAATAACAACTATCAGTAGTAAAAAGCTCATACAAAAGACAATCCTACTGAAAAATGGATAAAAATGTGCAACCTGGAGATCAAGTACAAAGAGCCAAAAAAAATATGAAAAGATGCCAAACTTCACTGCAATGAGACAAAAAAAAAAAACCATTGCCGTCAAGTCAATTCCAACTCATAGTGACTCTATAGGACAGAGCAGAACTGTCCCACAGAGTTTCCAAGGAGTGGCTGGAGGATTCAAATTGCCCATCTTTTGGTTAGCAACCACAGCTCTTAACCACTGCGCCACCAGCGCTCCAAAAAGGGGCATTAAAATGACCATTTTCACTAATCTAATACAGGTATAAATGTTCATAAACAGGAATCCTAAGAACACATAGAGTGACACTGGGAACTGATAGAATTTTACAGAAAAATAATCTGGCAACATTTATTAAAATGAATACACATATACCCGTTGTCACAGCAATCCTACTTAGGAGAAAATAACTAACAACAATATATTAACGTGACCATGGAGAAGTGGAAGGAAACACAAGACATTAAAATTTGTTACTTATATGCATGGATTTTATTTCCCCAACTTGAGGGCAAGGATAACTTTGTCTAACCTTTTTGGTTTCTAACATGTAGTACAGCACGCAAGGTAGCCACTGCATTAATAATTAGTTAATGTGAAATAGTTCAAAAGAGATCCATGTTCTTCCATCAGAACTTATTTTAACTCAGTCATAAACTTTTCTAATCAAATCTGCAAGTAACAGTTTTATAATGCCAGAAGGTAATATCTGGAGAAAAACTAGTCTCGTTTTTTTTCAAATTAAAGTACATTATTCTGCACTTATTTTGTAATCTCTCATAATCCATCCCTCTTCTTCTAGACATATATATTAGAGTTCTAATAAAAATATCTACTATGGAAGTGTCTGGAGTCTTGGAAGCCTGTGGGCAGCCATCTAGGATACTCTGCTGGTCTCATCCCTTCGGGAGCAAGGGAGAATGAGGAGGGCAGGATACAGGGAAAAGATTGGTCTGAAGGACGGATGGTCCACAGCTACCAGGGCCTCCACCGGACTGAGTCCAGTGCAGCTAGATGGTGCCCGGCTACCACTGCTGACTGCTCTGACCGGGATCACAACAGAAGGTCTCAGACAGAGCTGGAGAAAAATGTAGAACAAAATTCTAACTTACAAAACGAAGACCAGATTTACTGGACTAAAGGAGACTGGAGAGGCCCCGAGAGTGTGGCCCCCAGACACCTTTTTGGCTCGGTGGTGGGGTTATCTCCGAGGTTCACCATTCGGCCTGGGAGCGGACAGCCCCGTAGAGCCAGATGGGACTGGTGAGGTACGGTAGTCCGGCGACGGGGGCCCGGGGGCAGAGGGGGACGGGGAAGCTGATGGTGGGGAACCCAGGGTTGAGTGGGGACATTGTTGATGTGTTGTGGGGGGGGTTGTTGGCCATTGTCAGGGGGCAGCATGTGAAGTAACTGTTGGATGGGAGGCTGTTTTGTTCTGTGGGCCTTCATCTTGGGTGAGAGTGGCAGCATGGTTGGAGGAGCATGATCGGTGTCGCTGAGCTGTGCATGTGGAAGTTTTTGAGGTGGTGTATCTTTGGCTATGTGTATTTTCACCAAAGAAGGGGATTGAGAAGTTAGAGGGTTGACATGTTGCGGGGTTGTTGACCAATGTCGTGGGACAGTGTGTGTGCTGCTGTTTCACGGGGAACTGTTTGTTCTGTGGGCCTTCACCTGAAGTACAATGAAAAAAATAAAAATAAATAAATACTTAAAAAAAAAAATCTACTATGGAGAGGATTATTACATATAAAGTATTAACCTAAACTTTAAGACACTGATTTACAGTGTCCTCCATTTCAGAATGTAACTACACGGGTAGCTAAAATTTTATTTCTAAAATTGGCAACCATAACTAATTTACTGCCATTGCATGTAAGAATTAAAATTTCTGTATCAAAAAAAGCCTAGGGATTGTCCAAAAGAGCTGAGCAGGAAAATTAAATAAAACGCAGCTGAAGTACTACCTTACTGGGTTTTTAATGAGACCACTACAAAAAAGTTTTCCTCACACTGTTCAAAACAAACTCCAGCTCTTTTTCGCTGGTAACTGCACATAATCTAGACAGCATTTCCTCTTAGGGCCCTCTCACTCTGTTCCAACAGACACATGAAACCAAAACCAGATATTCCTACCTTCTTTCATAAACTTGTTCTTCCTCTTATATTTTTTCCCCTAACTGCCATCAGCATCTACCCAGTCATCTAAGCTAGAAATCAGTCACTTAAATTTTTCATGCTCACTCATCCTCTACATGTAGTCAGCAAATTTTGACACTTTTCTATGACTATTCCAAAGGAATAATGAAAAGAAGAAAAAAAAAAAAGTTTGGCTAAGGAGGGTTTGTGTAGAACAAGAACAAAAAAATAACACCAGAGAAGTAATGAAGTAAGGTTCTAGAGATTAAAAGATCTTAAATGCAAGGCTTATTTTGGACTTCATGATGTAGGACAAGGGTTGGCCAACTTTTCTGCATGTACTAGAAAATATTAAAAAAAAAAAAAAAAAAACTTTAGGTTTTGCAGGCCAAGAGGCAAAATCAAGGATATTATGCAGGTACTCACATAACAAGAAAGAAAATAAATTTCCGTAACTTGTAGTAACAAAATTCTAAATATTAACTGTAATGATAATTGAGTACAATTTTTTGATAATACTGGTCTAAAGAGAATGGAACTCTTTTTACGTGAGTAACATTTTTGATTAATTGAGGTTCAAAGTTAGTGATCCCTACCACAAAATCAAATACAAAATTTCATCTGTTAATGCTGGTTTGTAATGAAATTTTACATATTTTACATTTGAAAATGCCTTTTCACACAGGTTCTGTCAAATACTAGTATCAATCTATGACCATATGATTTTAATTGAATATATTCACCATTTGGAAGGCATTTATTTAATTTTATTAGATTCTTCTCTTGATATTTGCCTATCATGTCATTATGCTGCAGATTAATTATGTCTAATTGAAGGTTAGGTGGAAGCTCCTCAATTACAGGAGGGATTTTGAAATATGGAAATTTCCTTTGCACTTGCCTCAGGGTCTGCAAAATGCTATTAGAACTGTGGTTTGAGTTCCAAATATCTATCCACTGCTAATTTTGTGTGGGAATAGAGATCTTCTTAACTCTTGACAACAATGGAAATGTAAAAAGCAGCTTGATATTACTTGTGATTCAAACAGTAGTTATCAACTAAATGACTTTACCACATGTTTCACAAATAAGGGCTGTTTTGCCTTGTACTTTCAGGTTGAATTCATTAAAAAAATTATCAAGTTGGCAGCTAAAGCTAAGCTCCAAAACTATTTAGTATTCAATAAGTGGTTGAAGGCAGTTCTTGTTTTTTGTTTTTTTTAAAAGTTAATCTCAGCTCTGCGCTCAAAATATTTACAATAAAACTTTACTACTGGTAAGTCATCAAACAGCTATGTGATATTGCAGGTCAGTATATTCAGCTTCTATTTCAGATGAAAATTAAAACAACTGATGATGGTTAGATCCAAGAGAGTGCATGAAGTTTACCGTTAACACTACTGATTCAATAACACATGATAAATTCAAATATTTCTCACAAAGTATCTGCTGACGAATAATATCATAACAATAGACTTTAAAAACAGTGTATTTCTATAAGCTTTGTAAATTTGTTCAACTAAGCCTTTTTCTGCTCTACACTTTTACTACCAACTGAAACACATCTTAGCAGATTCCACTTCATGTTACTGAATACTGTAATTATGGATAAAACTTAATTTCTCAAAGCCTCAGTTTACTCATCTATTATGAGGGATAACAGTATCTACTTCAAAATGTTGATCTAAAGATTAAATAAGATGATCTACATGAACTGATTACAATAACACCTACACAGGAGGTGATCAATAACTGTTACCCATATTTATTATTGTTACTGCAAATCAGCTGATAGTTCCAACACTAGACATGCCAGTGATAAAACATAAATTGAAGAGGTAAAATTAACAGAAGAGAAATTTAAAAACAGATCCAAATGGATGTAAGAATTATTATGAGATAAACACATAAAGTCTATTATTTTTGTGGGAAATCTTTGGAGGTCAGGATTAAAAATGCAAAAAACCAAATTAGACTTCAAGGAAAAAACAGGAAAGTAAAAACAGCAAATGGATAAGAATATAGGCAGCATGTAACAAACAGATAAGAATATAAGCAGCATGTTTAGGGATGAGTGGAAGTAGTAGAGTCGACAAAGATGATACAAGAATAACATGAATAGACGAATTAGCACAGCTATTCTTAACACCAGAACACAAATGCTGGAATGCAGAAGACTGAAGGGAAGCCATCTAAGGGAATCGAATTTAAATGAAATGCAATGATTTCATAAGAAAACACTATCAAAGCTGAAAAATCTACTTACTGACACAGCTATCATGGTACTATCTGGCCTCCATTCAGCTTGTTTATAGGATCCAAACTGAGCAGATGATTTTGCAGGTTCCTTGTACGTTACGATTAACACACTAGGCTGGAAGGAAAACAGTTGCATTAGTATTCATAGCCCAAAAAAAAAATACAAAAAAAATTTAAGATAACCTAACATGGAGTACTCTGAAAGTAGTTTAATAATTCTAAAAGTGCAATAAAAGACAGCATAATCTTATATTAAATCATCAGTTTCAAACAGTCCAGTCAAATCAACCAAAAAGAACAAAAATAATTCTTCAGTGAATTACCTTCTACATGGCTAAAGAGGCACTATTTAATAAACTAGAAAGCAAAACTCTGCCTGATCTTAGAGTTTATAATCTACTTGGGAAAATTAAAAAAAAAAAAAAAAACTCAAGTAAGAATTCAGGGAGACCAGGTAGCACATAATCAAATTCTAAATCATGTGATGGTAATATATATATATCACTTCACAGTTTTTCATGCACTTTCTATTTCTTCTCCAATTTGAAAAAGGCTTTAACATAGAAGGGGAGGGGCAGAAATATATAGAAGAGTTTTTGTACACTATTGGGTGGATGTAAGCTTTCATTTCTCTTGGGCAAATTTATCTAGGAGTGAAATCACTGGGCCATATGGTAACTGTATTTTAACTTTTTGAGGAATTGCCAAACTTTTCCACAGTGGCTGCAGAACTACTTTATATTCCCACCAGTGTATGAAGGTTCCAATTTTTCCATGTTTGCCAACACTTGTCATTGTGTCATTTTTGATTGTAGCCATCCTTCTGAATGTGAAGTGGTATCTCATTTTGTTTTTGATGTGCATTTTGCTAATGACTAACATTGCTGTGCATCTTTTCATGTGCTTGTTGGTCATCTGTTTATCTTCTTTGATGCAACATCTATTCAAATTCACTGCCTATTTTTAATTGGGCAATGGAACTGCCAGCTCTTAAAAAGGTTATGTGCCAATAACTGAATCTTTGAAGCTGACTGCTGAAGTTCTTTAGTAGAATTGTTTCTGCAGTAAAATTCATTATAAATGGGGATATGGTTCCCTGGTCATCTCACAAAAGTCTATTCTGCCCACCTATACAAGTAGACAATTTAGTGTAGAAGTTAAGAATACAAGTTCTGAAGTATGAATAAAAACAAACAAACAAACCAAACCAAACCTGTTGCCATCGAGTCAATTCTGACTCATAGCAACCCTATAGGACAGAGTAAAACTGCCCCATAGGGTTTCCAAGGAGTGGTTGGTGGGTTCGAACTGCCAATCTTTTGGTTAGCAGCTGAGCTCTTAACCACTATGCCACCAGGGCTCCGAAGTATGAATGGGAGAATTCAAATACTGGCTAGGCCATTTATGAGCTTTGTGACTTTGGACAAACTATTTAACTTCTCCTATGTTGCAGTTCCTACATTTTTAAAATAAATGCAACAATAGAACCTATCTCATTGGATATCAATGCTGCAAAGAGTACATAAATAATACAGTATTTGGTAGAGTGCCCGGCACTTAATAAGCCCTACAGATGTTATTTGTTGCTGTTTTATTATCATTTTAATGTCTTGGGATCACATTATTAAAAATATTACAGAACAAAAACTTGTTTCCTTGGACAATTTTTATTTATTCAGAATTCCTACATAAGACACCACTAACATATCACTTCCTGCTATAGCTTATACAATGATAATAAGATTTGTTCAACTCTCTGGCAGTGCAGGGCTGGGACCAAGGCAATTTAGCAGGTTGGGCTGGTGCAGGTGGTGGAGCAGACTGATTTGAGGTAGGCCCAAGGGAACTTTCTGGGATGATGAAAATGCTCTAAATCTTGACTGGGAAGTGGTTACACAAGTGTATGTATTTGTCAACATTCACTTAAGATCAACATTTCCCTGTACATAAATTTTACCTCAAAAAGATACATACCCCTCCCCCCACCAAAAGTCATCATTCAAGTATACTGAGCGCTGTTTACAAAAGCAAGGAAGATTACTAACATACATGATTTTCAAAGAAAATTTTCTAGTTAATTAGTAGTTAAACAGAAAATAAGTTATATTCACTTTTAGTTGTTTTATTTTGTTAAAAACAATTCCGGACTATAACTGTTAAATATACATAAATGTACTGTTTTCAAAGTAGATACAGCACCCTTCTGCAGTAACATGTAGTTTTTTCTACTGATAGTACGTAAGTGATGACTGATTAACTTCATACTTGAAATACTCCTCAATTTTCAAAGTGATATTCCTTAAGGGTAACATTTGATGACAACTGTGAGTGAAGTCTCAGTCCGAACACCAAATGAGGTATCAACTTCATATACAGAAAGAGGCAAAGCAATACGCTTTGGTAGTTTTCGTTTTCTCCTATATGAAATGGGTAATATTTGAGGAATATCTCACTCTTATTATCGGGCTACTGAAATCAGGCTGTTTCGTCTCCCACTCTGTTACTTATCTTTATCCCATGAAACAGTGCCCAATTAACAGGTGCTCTTGAGAGCAAACTCCTTTAAAGTTAATTTCATGTACACAAAATTATTATCTATGAAGTATTCATGTTAAATATGTTTAAATTTAATCTAATCAATTCTTTCAGGATACAGGAAAAAGTTAACAATTACACAAATCCAGAGTGTGGTGGTCTACAAGAAAGTGGACTAATCTACTAAAAAAAAAAAAGTCACTGTGAGAGCAAGAAGGGAGGGAAGACCATTCTATGTTAAGAGACTAAAAAGACATAACCCATCACAATGCATGAACTTAGAATGGATCCTTGTTTTCAAGCTTAAAAAAAGAGTAAAAATTATTTGGGGAATATTTGGGAAAAGTTCAAATCAAACTAAATATTAGGATATTAAAGAATTAGTAATCTTCATAGAACTGTACCATGATTATGTACAAGAATGTCAATTTTTAAGAAGACACACACTGAAATATTTAGGTATCAGTGAAGTATCTTGATGTTTCAACTTTCCAATGATTCCACACATTTATATATGCTTAGACATATACATATGTACAAACACAAAAAAATAACAAAATGTTGAATACTGTTAACAAATTTCAGGAAATAATGTTGATCCTGCATATGTGTATACAACTGGACATAACTGGAAATCTCTATGCACAAATTCTATATAGAGTTGAAAGAAGGAAGTGCTATAATTTATATTTCCTAGCATATAGTTAAGTGTTAACTGTGAGTCATAGCCCAACATACCTCAATAACACATCATAATATCCATAATGAAAAGTCTAAGTCATGTAGCATATAATTATACTTAAGAGTTTTCATTATTGCATACTATATATATTCCATACTACAGAAAATAAAACACACAATTAAAATGTATTTTAAGTTGGACTTAAAGGAATACAGTCAATTAACTATAAAATTCACTTACAAATGCTACCTAATTCCCCTATGCCAGAAAAATAATAAGCATTTTTAAATACACTTAACAGTACATAATATTCTAGAAGCCCTGGTGGGCAGTGGTTAAGTGCTTGGCTGCTAACCGAAAGCTCGATGTTTCAAACCCATCAGCTGCTCCTTGGAAGAAAGATGTGGCAGTCTGCTTCTGTAAAGATTACAGCCTTGGAAACCCTACAGGGCATTTCTACTCTCTTTTTACAGGGTTCCTATGAATAGGAATCCACTTGATGGTAACGAGTTTTTTTTGTTTGTTTGTTTGTCTTTTTAATATATATTCCATACTACCTAAAGTAAAATACGTAATAGACTTAAAGACTGGTTAAATTTTTTTTTAAGTTGGACTTAATCTTTTCTCCATTTATCATGATGTTGCTTACTGGTTCAAGTTGTGAGGATTTGTTTTATGTTGAGGTGTAATCCAAACGCTGTAGTCTTTGCTCTTCATCAGTAAGTGCTTCAAGTCCTCTCTACTTTCAGTAAGCAAGGTTGTGTCATCTGCATAACGCAGGTTGTTAATGAGTCTTCTTCTAATCCCGATGCCCCATTCTTCTTCACAGAGTCCAACTTCTCAGATTATTTGCTCAGCATCCAGACTGAATAAGTATGGTGAAAGGATACAACCCTGATGCACACCTTTCCTAACTTTAAACCACACGTTATCTCCTTGTTTTGTTTGAACGACTGCCTCTTTATCTATATACAGGTTTGTCATGAGCACAATTAAGTGTACTGGAATTCCCATTCTTCACAATGTTATCCATAATTTGTTATGATACACACAGTTGAATGCCTCTGCATAGTCAATAAAACACAGGTAAAAATCTTTCTGGTGTTCTCTGTTTTCAGCCAGGATCCATCTGACATCAGCAGTGATATCCTTGGTTCCACATCCTCTTCTGAATCTGGCTTTAATTTCTGGCAGTTCCCTGCCGATATACTGCTGCAGCTGCTTTTGAATGATCTTCACCAAACTTTTATAAGTGTGTGATATTAATGATATTGTTCAGTAATTTCTGCATTTGGCTGGATCACCTTTCTTGGGAATAGGCATAAATATGGATCTCTTCCAGTCAGTTGGTCAGGTAGCTGACTTCCAAATTTCTTGCCATAGACAAGTGAGCACTTCCAGTGCTACATCCATTTGTTCAAACATCTCAATTGGTATTCCATCAATTCCTGAAGCTTCATTTTTCGCCAATGCCTTCAGTGCAGCTCAGACATCTTCCTTCAGTACCATCAGTTCCTGATCATATGCTATCTCCTGAAATGGTTGAACGTCAACCAATTCCTTTTGGTATAGTGACTCTTGTGTATTCCTTCCATCTTCTTTTGATGCTTCCTGCATTGTTTAATATTTTCCCCCTAGAACCCTTCAATATTGCAACTCAAGGCTTGAATTTTTCTTCAGTTCTTTCAGCTTGAGAAATGCCGAGCACGTTCTTCCCTTCTGGTTTTCTATCTCCAGGTCTTTGCGCTGATTATAATACTTTACTCTGTCTTCTCGAGCCACCCTTTGAAATCTTCTGTTCAGCTCTTTTACTTCAACGTTGCTTCCTTTTGCTTTAGCTACTTGATGTTCAAGAGCAAGTTTCAGTCTCTTCTGACAGCTATTTTGGTCTTTTCTTT